TAGCATTCTTTCATTCCTTCAGCCAGTTGGTGTTCATGGACTCCCATCTTGATTTTTACAATTCCCTTTTCCTCAAGAATGGTACTGTGCCTTTTCAGCCCAGGATTGGAAAAAGCTTTTCCTATTTGGATCCCCTAGAGTCTCAGTGTAGAGTTTCTTTTTTTCACATCCAGAAAGGAGTCAGGAATAGCCTCATATGCCCTGTTCAATAAACCTTCTTAGTTTGAAGCAATATCTTGCCTCAGCAAGAAGCTATACCTTTGCTTAAGGTGATCAGCCTTGATAATTTCAATCACACTTGCCATACTCCTGTTGGGGTCTAGTGAGGACACACAGTTAGGAACAAAAGTGGGAATGCCTTAGACACCACTTTATTGTCTGTGCGGGCCTCTTCAAGTGCAATTGAGTCATTGATACCTGAGACTCTTTCTAAGGTGTGGAATGTTTCCTTCAGATCGGAAAGGCTTGCCTTTTATATGTGATTTTGCTTCTTGTGATCTTGAGCTTCACTAAATCTCAGAGGGAACAGATCATTACCTGGTGCTATAAGGCATGTAAAGCACTCTATGTACATTATGTGATTTCATTCTCAAAACAAGTTGCAGGGTGGATAATATTGTCATTATTTTTCTCATTTTTATTGGAGTGTGAAATTGAAAATCAATCAGGTAGCAAACATTTATTAAGAACTTACGAAGTGCTAAAGAGTGAGAATAAAAATAAAGATAAAAAATATCCCTGCCCTCATCAAGCATGCATTCTAATAGGGGAGGCAACATGGAAACAACCATAAATGTACATGATAGATACAAAGTGGATGATAGTTGAATTTAAAAAGGAAGGCATTAATGACAGAGGAAAACAAAACACTTCTTGAATATGGTGAACTTTGAAATGGTCATGGAGGGCACCAGGGAAAGTTAAGAGGTGGATGTGAGGAAGGGATAACATTTTAGGTGGGAAGGAAAGATATGGAGATGAGAGGTAAAGAGCTGGGTTTGAGGGACGGACTGTCAGTATTTATTTTGTTTGAACATATGTATTTAGATGTTGTCTTCATTTTTAGACTATGAGCTTTTTGAGAATGGGACTTTCTTTTTTGTCTTTCTTTTTATCCCCAGGAATAAGCACAGTGCTTGCTATATATAATGTATAATAAATGCTAGTTGACTGACTATACAACCTCAACTTCTTACAGTATTCACTGTATTACTTATAGTATTGTAATAATATAATACTTACAGTATTCACAGAAAAAGCCCCTTTGTGGATTTCTTTCTAGGCTTTCATAATCTCTCTTCTAACTGTGTTGAGGCCTTCATACTACTCTGCTTGAAAGTCTCAGTTTCCAGCAGATGGCAGCCAATACCCTCTTCACCACCTTGGTTTCTACCAGGGCACCTCTTCTGCAAGCCATTGTAACCTCCCTCCACACTAACTCTTGGAATCTCTGATCTTCAACACTCATCTTAAGCACAATCTTCTACACAAAGCCTTTATTACTCACCACTCAGGTGTTAGGTCACTCCCTTCCAAAACTTCCTTGTACTAAATTTGTACATATATTGCATATATGTTTGCAGACTATTGTTCTTAAATAACTATCCAATCCCCACCCTCGCTGACAAGTCAGTTTCCCAGGGTACCCCACTTCATCCCCTCAAACCTACATATCTAAAAAAAAGGATATCCTATCTAATATCATAGTTCATGAGCCTCCATTTGCGTGGTTCCCTCCATGACTGTCAGTTAATATAAATTAGTCAGCCAGATGAAGTTAGCTTTGAGGAAGGCATATTTATTAAGGTGTTATAGTAAGAATTCATGGTACAAGACATCCCACTAAAAGTCTTTGATGTCCTCTCCTACCAGCTCATATCCAGTCTAGGGTAAAGTGGGTTTAAGCTTAAACATTTGGCAAAAGGGTAATTCACATTTCTTTGCTTCAAGAAGTCCTTTTCTTCCCTTTGTTTCTAATGTTCTCCTGAGGCATGGTTTAGGTCCTTTGCTGGGCTTTTTGTGGAGCTATGAATATAAGTCCAGTCTGTCCTCAGCTCATTATGCAACCGCTGCCCTTTGGTGTTTCAGGGATGTTGGTAGGATACCAATGGGATGACAAGTACTTACCCACATCCCCAAAATTTAAAGGGTTCTATTCTGGTGAAGGCATGGATGAAGAAGGCTGAGGATGAGCCAAAGGACTCTCTCCCTCCCTATCAACCAATTCTTTCTCAGAGGCAACTCTCCTCTCAGCCACCAGATGCTCGCTCAATTTCAAATCTCTCTCAGGCACAAATTAGCCTTTCTACACATTCTTCCCACACAGAGACATTTCCAGTTCACAGAATGATTCATCTGAGACTATGTACCTTCAGTTCATCTGATTAATTCAAGGCATGTTCCCACCTTGTTAAAGTACCAGGGCCTAGCATTTTATCGTTTTCTTTAGGTAAGGGAGAGGCAATGATTTGATTGACCCACTTTACACACAGACACAGACACACACACACACACACACATACACACACACACACGACCTCTCCATCCAGTTTTGATATTTGTTATCCCTAGAAAATCTACTGGAGTATTAGCCAAAGTCCCTATTTCCTGCAAAATGGATAATTTTGATTACATTAAATTAAATTTTTTTTTGCACAAATAAAACCAAATGCAACCAGGATTAAAAGGAAAGCAGAAAGCTGGGAAAGAATTTTTATAGCCAGTGTTTCAGATAAAGGCCTCATTTCTCAACTACATAGAGAACTGAGTCAAATTTATAAGAATATAAGTCATTCCCCAATTGATAAATGGTCAAAGGATGTGAATAGGCAATTTTCTGAAGAAAAAGTTAAATCTATCTATAGTCATACAAAAAATGCTCTAAATCACTATTGATTAGAGAAATGTAAATTAAAACAACTCTGAGGTACCACCTCATACCTATCAGATTGGCTAATAAAACAGAAAAAGAAAATGATAAATGTTGGAGAAGATGTGGGAAAAGTGGAACAGTAATACATTATTAGTGGAGCTGTGAACTGATCCAACCATCCTGAAGAGCAATTTGGAACTATGCCCAAAGGGCTATAAAACTGATATCCTTTGATCCAGAAATACCACTACTAGGTCTGTTTCCAAAGAGATAATAAAAAAGGGGAAAGGACACAGATGGACAAAAATATTTATAGCAGTTCTTTTTGTGGTGACAAAGAATTGGAAATTGAGGGGATACCCATCAATTGGGGAATAGTTGAACAAGTTGTGGTATATGAATGTAATCATTCTGAATATGAATGTACTGTTCTATAAGAAATGATGATTAGGCAGATTTCAGAAAAACCTGGACTTACATGAACTGATGCTCAGGGAAGTGAACAGAACCATGAGAATATCATACACAGTAACAGCAACATTGTACAATAACCAATTTTGATAGACTTAGCTCTTCTCAGCAATGTGATGATCTAAGATAATTCCAAAAGACTCATGATGGAAAATACTATCCACATCCAGAGAAAGAACTATGGAGTCTGAATGAAGATAAAAGCATACTACATCCACTTTGGTTTTTGATTTTTGGTTTTTTTTTCTTTCTGCTGGTTTTTCCCTTTTGTTCTCATCCTTCTTTCGCAACATGACTAATGTGGAAACTCGGTTTTTCAAAAAGATGATTCTTCTTTTCTTTTGTGTGTTTCTTGTGGGTTTTTTGGTCAATTCTTATTTTTTTCTTTCACAACATGACTTACATGGAAATGGTTTTTGCATGACTACGCAAATATAATCTATGTCAAATTGGTAACCTCAATGGGAAGAGGAAAGGAGGGAGGAAGAAAATTTGGAACTCAACTTTTGAAAAAAGAATGTTAAAATTGTTTTTACATGCAACTGGAAAAAATAAAACATTGAAATAAAAAAACACATTTTTTAAAAGTCCCTATTTCTAAAACGTAGGCAACTTCTTATCGATCGGAAGAGGGTTACCTCATCCATTGCAAATGCATTCCCCAGTGCCTTGTACCCAAATGGGAAGGGAAGGTAATAAGTTATTATCTAGATACTAGTATGTGCTAGCACTGTACTAAGTGCTTTAAGTATCTTTTTGCTTCTCAAAACTCTGACAGTAAATGCTATTATGACTCCTATTTTATAGATGAGGAAATGAAGACAGACAAGGTGAATATTATTTTCCCAGGCTTATGGAAGTAGTGTCTAAGGCTGAATTTGAACTCAGGTCTTTCTGACTCCAGGCCCAGTAATCTACCCCTGCACAACTTTACTGCCAAAGGGTCTAGGGAAAAGCTTGTGTGTCATAGTGTCTGATTGAATTCAGTAATTAACATTCTCCCATATTTCCATGTCCAGGGTGAAAGAAGTTAATTGGCCAATTCCATTTTATTGTTGTTGTGGTGGTGGTGGTGGTGTGTGTGTGTTTTACAAAGCATGTCAGTGCTTGTCTTGTCGATTGCAAGAAGGCCTTTTCCAAACCCAAAACAATAATGAGAAAAAGTGGAAAATGCAAAGAGAAATAGAAAAGTCAAAACTGATACACAATGAAGTGAGGAAAACCAGGACAACAATTTATGCAGTGACCATACTAATTCTGTAAAGGGGGAAAAAACTGAAGACCTTCACAGCTCTCATGGATGCAGTGACTAATGGAATGCGGGGAATGCTGCCCACCTCTTGGCAGAAAGAAGATGGGCTAGAGGTGCAGGAGACTTACACTGACAGTCACAGCCCATGTGTTATTGGTTAATTGTTTTTGGCTGAGTCTATTAACAAGTTGGGGCTTCTATTGGGTTGGAGAAGTCAGTGAGAGGTGAGATGATTGAACAGAAAATAGAAGAAAAGAGCATTAATTAGACATTTTAAAATGAAGAAACAGAAGGAAATTCAGTAAAATGCCCCAACAAATATGGCAGTTTTGTTATGTTATGCTATGTATAAACTTTGTTAAAAAATGATAGAAGTTTAGTTTCTTTAATTTCTTTTTTATTCTGAATTTAAGAACAAAAATGAGGGTTACCACACACACTGTGGAGCATATAGGATTGATTATGAAAGTGTGAATCTCCATTTCACCCTGTTTGCTTAAAAAAGAGGGCATGTAATTCCCAACTAGCTTTAGTTCTGAGCCAGGGCTCCAACTGGAGCTCCCAAGGGCTTGATCCCCTGCTGGAGGTAGATCCCATGACTACTGAGGCAGTCTTTCTCCAGGTGGTAAATATTCAAGAAGTGGGCAGGGGGTCCCCTCACTCTACTCACTTCCACACCTTGGGGTAAAGTCAGCACACGCTGTCAGAGACAGAGAGTTCTGGGCCTCAAGGTCCTAATTTCTTTAAGGACTCCAAGTCCCAAGTTATCAGAGCATTCTGGCCTTAATGAGGTATCATATACCTAGACATCCTTTCCCTAGACCTAAGTTTCTCTTCCCATCTACTACTTGTGGATCTCAAAAAGGGGCTTCTGAACAGAAATAAAACCAGGGGAGAGGGAGATGGGGTTGGGGATGGGAATGGGATTAGGGAGAGGGATTTTCTTAGGGTAAGGGGTAATGTTAGGGACATAGATAGGTTTAACATGCAACCAATGAGGATATTTTTCTCTCCAACCTTAGATTCCCCTGTTGTAAAACTGAGGACAGAGAAGTGGTGGTCTCTAAGGTCTGTTCTTTTCCTAAATTTGTTGACCTTGGAGGTACACTCAATGAATCCCTGAGGGTAGGCAGGACAGGACAAGAGGAAAGGAGGGCAAAAGGAAAGCCATAGTACTGTCAGGCAAGAAAAGAGCCAGAGGAAGGACACCAGAGTGCAGGGTTCATCTACCTAGTGGAGTATTCACAGAATGCAAGGGCCAGAATTTCCCCTGCTGCTGGGGGAACTGGGAGCCTGTGTCACTTAAAGGAGACCTACAGTGAGTGGCTGGGGACTCCATGAACTCATCACTATAGGAGGAGGAGCCAGGATCTTCCAGGAAAGCAGGCTATGACAGAAGGGCCTCCTCTTCACAAATCTAGGAGAGAGAAAAGAGTGGGAGTCTTAAGCTTACTCTGGGACTACCTATGTTGCTCCAGCCAAGTCTGAGCCCAAATCATGACTTCCCTCACAGAAGCTGGTGCTCTGCTCCTCCCTAAGCATCTTTGGGAGACAGACTCATGGGTCATAACTTTGGGAGACAGAAATGGAAAGGAATAGTGAGATATTATTCAACTCCATTTTAGAGGTGAGGAAACCATGGACCAGAGACATAGAACCAGAGAAACTCTGAGCTAGATAGGACATTCAAACCAAAGTATGTCACCTTCTCATTTGGAGGATCATGGATTTAAGGCAAAGAGAGACTTTGAAAGTAATTGGGTCTAACTCCCTCATTTACAAATGCAGAAATTGATGTGCAGGGAGATTAAGTGACTTGATTAGAGTGACACAGCTAGTAAGTGTCCGAGGTGGGATTCACACTTGGTTCTTCCAACCTCTAAGTCCACTACCTTCTACACCTAATCAGGATGACTTTGAGGAAGCAGCTGAGGCTCAGAGGAGAAGACACGGTAGCTGCGGGGGTTTGTGGCAGAGATGACACCCAAACCCAGTTCTCCTGTCTCCTAGTCCCACAGGACCTTCCTCTCAAATGCATTGCTGCTCGGTCCCCTCAGCCTCTCCTCCCTTAGACTAAGTACCTATGTCCATGGATGGGGCTGGTTTAGGTGAGAGATGCCCTGGGGTTGCCTAGAATGTCCCTTTTGCTCTGTTCATTGTGAAAGCCCAATGCAAATGCCATCTACTCCATAAAGTCTTCACTCCAATGAGGAATGCCTCTTCTTCTTAGAGTGTGAATCTTTTGAGAGAAAAGTCAGCCTCCCATTTATATCTCTCTCTCCAGCTCTCAGCATAGCAGTGAGAACCCAATAAGTGCCTTATAAATACCCTTCCTTCCTTCCTTTCTTCTTCTCTTTATCCTGATCCCCATCCCTCTTCCACTCTCCCCCTTCCTCTTCCTCCCTCTCCCTCTCTACTCTTCTTTTTCCCTCCCTCCCTCTCCTCCTCTCCCTTCCTTTTCTTCTTCTTCTTCTTCTTCTTCTTCTTCTTCTTCTTCTTCTTCTTCTTCTTATCTCTCTCTCTCTCTCTCTCTCTCTCTCTCTCTCTCTCTCTCTCTCCCTTTCTCTCTCTTTCTCTCTCCCCCTCTCCCTTTCTCTCCAATTTACTCTTCAGATCAGAGGGCTCCCACCCCTGTTGCCCCCTCACCATTGGGTGAACATGGTTTCCACAACCCGTTCATGTTGTAGTTGTGGGTCAGGGCACACCAGGTCTTGCCCAGCACATACCCATCCGTCGTGCAGGCATGGTACAGCTTCTTCCCGAAGAGGAATGGAAACTTACATGCTGGAGGGTCTGTGAAGGCCCAGAGGGTTAGCATGGAGTGAGCATATGCTCAGAGTTCTGTGGACCAAAGGCTCTTTTTGGCAGGGAATAATGAGGCCACCTAGACTAGCACGCATGTTTCCCCTCTCCAAGTGATCAGGCAGCCTTTGCTTCTAGGCCTCTAGTGATGTGGCTACCTGACTCCCTTGGTGGTTCATTTAGTTTCTGATTTTTAAGATCTGCCTCTTTGCATTTCTACTCATGCCCTTCTTCCCCATTGTCCTTATTGTTGCCCTCCAGGGCCAAGTAGAACAAGTGTAATCCCTCTTCTACCCTATAGCCCTTTAAATACTTGAAGGCAAATATCCTCCCAAAATCTTCTCTTCTCTGGGCTAAATATTCCTAGTTCCTCATATGATATGGACTCAAGACCCTCTGCAGTTTGTCAATGATATTCCTAAAGTTTGTTTGTTGGTTGGGGGATGGATTAGAACTGAACATAATACCGAAGACATAGCCTGACCAGAGCAGAGGACAGAGGGACTGTCACCCTCCTTGTTTCTGAACAACTCTCTTTTTCAGCACCTTAATATGGAATTGACTTTCTCTGGGATATCAGCATCTCTCACTGGAAACATGTATTGAGCTTTCAGTCCACTAAGATCCCCAGATTGTTCTCTCAGGGACTACTCTGTAGGCACACATTTCCCAAATATACCTGTGCAGTTGGTTTTTTAAACTAAGTAGAACACATTCAATTGCAGAATCCTCTCAGTTCCAGATAAATGATGGCTCTGTTCTGGAAATACATGGTAAGGAAAATTGGGGAGGGAGTGGCACAAGACACTTGGATGATGCGAGAGTGACTCACCTGTACTAACACAGTAGCGCCACTTCCCATTGAAGATGGAATCCACTGAGCACCAGGCAAAGTCACTATTCACTGTTGTGCAGTGCTCATACCTCACATTCTCATAGATGAATGGAAAGGCACATGGCTTGAGGATCTTTTCTGGGGAAAGGATCAGTACTGGTTGGAATGGGAGAAGGTGAGGGGCACAAGCCAGGAGCCAAAGGCATCTGGTTCTCAATTAACCATTACTCCAAAGTTCCTCAGCCCCCTTTGTTTTCATACCCCACTTGCAGACCATCATGTTAGCCAAGCCTTGAATGTGCACACACTCAGAAAGGGTCCAGGTGTGACAGGATCTGAGAGCTTTACTGAAGTGGAGGGAGTATGTAAGCTTGGTGGGGACAAAGCCTCACTATCTCCTCTTCTAGATGAAGAAAACACAGCCCAGAGAGAAAGGAAGGAACGTAGAACCAGCGAAAAATCTCAAGTACTGGGAGTTGTTTGATGGCCCTTGAGTCAGGAGACCCCAGTGTGAAGCTAATGTCTGATATTTACCAGGTGTGACTATGGGCAAACCGTTTAACTTTGTAGAAATAGGGTTGTGACAAAAAGTCCTGTTTAAACCTTAGACCATTCCATAAGGGGAATATCAGAGCTAGAAGAAGCCTTAGAGAATCTAATGCTATCCAGGATTTCCTGACTCCCAGTTTTGTGCCTTCTTTCCATACACACATAACCCTTCCATTCCTCCTTATTTTAACCCCCGTCTCTTCCTGCACAGCTTGAGAACAGCTGGATTGCTTTGAATTCTCTTTAGGACACCCTCAGGAGTGCCCATGGAGGCCAGAGAATTGGGCTAACACCCTGATACAGACATTCATCATAACACCCCACAGATCTACAAAGGGCAAATCAGGCTGACCTTGGGGAGGAGCCACCCTCCCTCCAAGTTCATCCTAATTGGGAAGGGAGCGTAGTAGACCTTAATGAATACTGAATTTGGTGTCAGAAGATCTGGATTCCAATCCTAAGTCTGCCTCTTACTATATGTATAACCTTGAACACCCCCCATCACTTCTATAGACCTCAGCATTCTCATCTATAAAATAAGATTAGACTTGAAGGTCTCCACCAGCTCAAAATATTGTGAATTTTTCTCTTTGCTCAAATAACTGATCCTACCCACTTCTACTCACTCCCGTACAGGGAGGTGTTGCAGTCTTTTTCAGTCCCCAAGCTGCAAGTCCATTGTTTTCTCCTTACCTGGCTTGGGTCGAATATTTCTATATCTGGTCAAGTCTGAAATGCAACAAGGAAGTGGGTAAATCTATTTCTCACAGTATTTCCATACCAAACCATATCCCCATTCACCTCTCCCAGCTGCCCCCAAAGCTTCCCTCACCTGCATTGGCCCCATGGAGGCAGAAGTGTAGGCACACCCAGCCCACCAGCAACCCTCTCTCCAGAAGCATCTCAGTCTGAAACCTTATGCAGGCCAGTCTTCTGTCCTAATCCAGCTCTGAGTTTTATCCCCACAAGCCCTTCCTGTCCCTCCCCCAATCCTCCCACTCCTAATCTCCTCCCCATTAGCATGCCTATCTGGCCCTGTTCCCTAATGGCCAAGGGAACCAGTGAAAATAGACTTGGAGTTAAGGTCAGGTGACCTGGGCATAGTCCTGCAACTACGCGACATTGTTCAAATCTCAGTTTTCAGTCTAAGTTTCCCCATCTGCAAAACAAAAGGGTGGGACTAGATTATCTTTTCTCAGGGGTGAGTCCCTTCTCCTTTGAGAACCTCACTTTCCTCAGTGGTCAAATGAAAGGATTAAACTGATATCTTATTTCTGTCTATAAAATATAAGACCTCTAAGGGCAAGAAATATTTCATCTTTGTCTTTCTATCCCCAAAGGCTTAACGCAGTACCTGATCCATGATATTTGCTTACTATGTGCTTCTTTTTGGATGGATTGGGGACCTCATCCCTGAGGTCCTTTCCAGCTCTAGATCTCATGAAATGTAAAGCCTTAAGGACTCACCTGGCCCCTGAAATCCACTCCATATGGAGACATGTGGTAGTTCTATTCTCACCCTTCTCATACTTCAAGGAAATGGAAGATAGAAGAATCAAGCAGAGAACAGCCAGGGAGGGCCTTTCTAGGTAGGGGAGAGAGAGGAGACAGGCAAACCCTCCATAGTGGGGCTGGCCAGGCCTTCTGAGTGGGGACCTGGGCTGGAATCTGGCTCTTCTGGACATAATGTTTACAGGAAGAAGGAAATGAGGATGAAGTTGGGCCTGAGAAAATATATTTTGTTAATCAGTCCACTAAAAAAACATTTATTAATCACCTACTATGTGCCAGGCATTGGACTAAGCACTGGGGATATTAAGAAAGACGAAGGCAATTCCTGGCCTTGAAGATCTCACAATCTAATGGAGGTAAATAACGAAGCTACTTATAGGATAAGTAAGAAATAAGAGACAGAAGGCACTGGAATTAAGGGGTATTGGGAAAGGCTTTCCATAGAAGATGGGATTTTATCTGGCACTTGAAAGAAGCCAGGAAAAGCAGTAGGCACAGATTAGAAAGAAGAGCATTCCATGCATGAAGGGCAGCCAGTGAAAATGTCTGGAATTGGGAGATGGAACAGCCAATAGGACAGTGTCACTGGACCATTCTGCACATGTCAGGAAATAAGGTATGAGAAGACTGAAAAAGGTAGAAAGGAGCTGATGGAGCTGGGATCTGAACCCCTAAAAGGAAAGGACCTTGTCTTTGGGATCTGGACCCCAAAAAGGAAAATCTCTAGTCCAAATGGCCAAATCTCTGACATTCCCCTGAAGCTAAAATACTATCAACTGGCCTTTCATTATTGCCTATGCCCAATCTCCCAATTCTCTGTTACCCTTAACCTAGCCTAGCCCTCTATTGTCTTATCTCCCTATGGCACCCCCCCCCCCCTTCCCACCCTTACTCCTGTTTAGGCTCTCTTCTCCGTTGGCCACTTGGTTCAGGTCCCTGGAGTTCACTTCAGACTACTTGGCCACTCTTAGATCCCTCCCATAGTCTTTCTGTACATAAGGTCCATTTGACCTCCATTAAGGTGCTGAGATTCTTATAATCTGACCAATGCTCAGATTCCCTAAGAGTCTAGCCAAGGCCTCAGATTCTTAAGATCTGGCCCACTTGCATTAGTGATACAAATTCTTAGATTCCTTAAGAGTCTGTCCTCTATGGTGGATTCTTTAAATCTCACCTACTCCCAATCGATGTTCTAATAAACCTCATCTTTGACTGAAAGAAGGCTTGGATCAAATTCATTTGGGCAGGATCCATGTGTTGTGATTTTGGGGTCCCAAAACCTCTAAACCTCAATAGAGCTAGGTTATGAAGGGCTTTGAACATGAAACAGGATTTTATTTTTGATCATAGGGATGATAGAGAGCCAATGGAGTTTATTGCGTTGAGAGGCATGAGATGATTAGATCTGCGTATTAGGAAAATCACTTTTGTGACTTAATGGAGTTTGGACTAGAGAGACTTGAGGCAGGCAGACCCACAAGGAGTCCATTGCAGTAGTACAGATATGAGGTGATGAGGACCTGTACCAAAATGGTGGCAATTTCAGAGGAGAGAAGGAAAAGTATTTGAGAAATGTTACAAAGGTGAAATTGACAAACCTTGGCAACAGATCGGATAGTGAGGAATTCAGGATGACTCAGAGGTTGCAAGCCTGAAGAACGGAGAGAATGATGTTGCCCTTTACAGTAATAGGGAAGTAGGGGGGAAGTGTTTTTGGAGGGGGGGAAGATAATGAGATCCATTTTGGACACATTATGTTTAAGATGTCTATGGGACAACCAGTTCAAGATGTCTGAAAGAGAGTTGGATGTGGGAGATTGAAGACCAGCAGAAATGTTAAGACTGAATCACTAATTTGAGAATTGTCTACATAGAACTGATAATTAAATCCAATGAAGCTGATGAGATTACCAAATGAAGTAGTATGGAGGAAGAAGAGTAGAGGTCCCAGGAGAGAATCCTAAGGGACACCTATGGGCTATAAGGTGTGGTCTGGATAAGGATGTAGCAAAGGAGACTGTGGAGCCCTCAGATAGGTAGGAGAGCCAGGAGACAGCAGAATCACAAAGACCTAGAAAGAAGAGTGTACAATGGATGAAAGAATGATCCACAGTGCCAAAGGCTGCAGAAAGGTCAAGGAGAAGGAAAATCTTTGGATTTGGCAATTAAGAAATCATTGGCAACTTTGGATAGAACCGTTTTGGTGGAATAATAAGATCAGAAGCTCAACATGTCAACTATCCCAGTCTTTACTTCTTCCTATGTCAGTGAAGCCCATGTCTCCCTCAAAGTTGTTAACATGTAGCTTTAGCAATAAGAAAAGAAAAAGACATTGAAGGCATTAGAACAGGCAAAGAAGAAACAAAGCTATCACTCTTTGCAGATGACATGATGTTATACTTAGAGAATCCCAGAGAATCAAGTAAAAAACTATTTGAAATAATAATCAACTTTAGCAAAGTTGCAAGCTATGAAATAAACCCACATAAATCATTGGCATTTCTATATATTACCAACAAAGCCCAACTCCAAGAGATAGAAAGAGAAATTCCATTTAAAGTTACTGTAGACATTATAAAATATTTAGGAGTCTACCTCCCGAAATAAACCCAGGAACTCTATGAACACAATTATAAAACACTTTTCACGCAAATAAAATCCAATCTAAATAATTGGAAAAACATCAGTTGCTCGTGGGTAGGCCGAGCTAATATAATAAAAATGACAATTCTACCTAAGCTAATTTACTTATTCAGTGCCATACCAATCAAACTATCAAAAAATTATTTTATAGACTTAGAAAAAATAATAACAAGATTCATTTGGAAGAACAAAAGGTCCAGAATATCAAGAGAACTAATGAAAAGAAATGCAGGGGAAGGTGGCCTAGCCATTCCAGATTTTAAATTGTATTATAAAGCAGCAATCACCAAAACTGCTTGGTACTGGCTAAGAAATAGATTGGTGGATCAGTGGAATAGGTTAAGTCTGCAAGACACAGTAGTCAATGACTATAGTAATATATTATTTGATAAACCCAAAGACCCCAGCTTCTGGGATAAGAACCCACTCTTTGAAAAAAAAACTTCTGGGAAAACTGGAAAAGAGTATGGCAGAAACTAGGCGTAGACCAAAATCTCACACCATATACCAAATAAAGTCAAAATGGGTACATGATTTAGATATAAAGGCTGATACTATAAGCAAACTGAGAGAGCAAGGAATAGTTTACCTGTCAGATCTATGGAGAACAGAAGAATTCATGACCAAACAGGAGGTAGAGAACATTAAGACAAGCAAAATAGATAATTTTGATTACATTAAGTTGAAAAGTTTTTGCACAAACAAAGCCAATGCAACTAAGATTAGAAGGAAGGTAGAAAATTGGGAAAGAATTTTTACAACCAGTCTCTCTGATAAGGGCCTCATTTCTAAAATACATAGAGAATTAAGTCAAATTTATAAAAATACAAGCCATTCCCCAATTGATAAGTGGTCAAAGGATATGAACAGACAGTTTTCAGGTGAAGAAATTAAAGCCATCTATAGTCACATGAAAAAAATGTTCTAAATCACTGTTGATTAGAGAAATGCAAATCAAAACAACTCTGAGGTACCACATCACACCTATCAGAATGGCCAACATGACAAAACAAGAAAATGATAAATGTTGGAGAAGATGTGGGAGAATTGGAACACTAATGCATTATTGGTGGAGTTGTGAAATGACCCAACCATTTTGGAGAGCAATTTGGAACTATGCCCAAAGAGCTATCAAAATGTGCATACCCTTTGACCCAGCAATAGCACTTCTAGGGCTATATCCCAAAGAGATCACACAAATGCGAAAAGGATCTACATGTACAAAAATATTCATAGCAGCTCTTTTTGTGGTGGCAAAGAATTGGAAATTGAGAAGATGCCTATCAATTGGGGAATGGCTGAGCAAGTTGTGGTATATGAATGTGATGGAATACTATTGTGCTATAAGAAATGATGAACAGGCTGACTTCAGAAAAACCTGGAAAGACTTGCATGGTCTGATGCTGAGTGAAGTGACCAGAACCAAGAGAATGTTGTACACAGTAACAGCCACATTGTGTGATGACTAATATTGAAAAACTTAGCCCTTCCTGGCAATACAAGGATCTAAGACATCTCCAGAGGCTTTGTGATGGAAAATGCTATCCACACCCAAAGAAAGAACTATGGAAGCCGAATTGTTATTTTTTTCTCTTCTGTTGAGTTTTGTTTCCTCTTTCTGATGGTTCCTCCTATTGGTTTTAATTTCTACTTACAACATCACTAATGTGAAAATATGTTTAATATGAATGTAAATGTATAGCCTATATCAGATTGTGTGCCCTCTTGGGGAGGGTGGTGGGGAGGAAGGGGGAGAAAAAT